GGAATATCAATTACACTCATAAATCTAGTTTTTGATGGGCTTTAACCTGGTATAAATACTTTCTGATATTATCTGTCCTTTAGGTCGTGTAGGGGGGGAGAAAAAGGTTATGTAACACCCTGTATATAATCTGATAGAGAAAAATAAAGCTCTGTCTTTCTATGATATTTGATCGTTACTTCAACTAATATCATAATATTAAATTATCTTTAAAATCTATTTCGGCTGGTTATGTGCCGGTTGTATTCATACTAATTTTGAAAAAATACGAGTGAATATTTTTTGAATAACTTTTGATAAAAGCAAGATAAAGAGCTGCGGTTTTCACCGTTGGAAAGAGGAGATGAAGACGCATCGAATCATATATTATAGGTTTTTTTTATCCGTTTCTTGTAAGGTTTTCAATTACCCTTTTTATGAACAAACATATTTGATAAGTTGTTTACAGTGAATTTTCAATTATCAAGTGTAAATTCAACCCACTATCTTCATTTCAACTCGCATCTTCATTTCCTCTTTCCAACGGTGAACACCGCAACTCTCTATCTTGTTTCTATCAGAAGTTATTCAAAAAATATTCACTAGCATTCATGGAACCGTGACACATGCGAAGAAAACAGATCTTATCAAAATTTTATTATTCTTATATTAGTTGGAGTATGATCAAATAGCATAGAAAAATAGAGCGTTCTTTTCTCTATCAGACTGCATAGAAAGAAAATTTCTTGAAGCTTAATATACAGTATTAAAGTGTCACTGCCCGTACTTTTGGTATGCCCTAAGTATTACTAGACACTATTAAATTCTCTTATTTTCTGTATTTGTTAGTTTGTCTCATTTAGACTCGTGTAACAGAATGGTGCTTTAATATTCCATTTTATGATACATTAAGTTTTATGCTCAATATTTGTGATAAAATTAAGTATAGATATTTCGATGATAAATCTGTTTTGGTATTTATCATAATTATAATTACTATTCTTCTACTACAATTACTATTTTTCTGTTCTTTTAGTGGGAAGATACCTATATCGAGAATATTCGTGTCCGAATTTATGATCCAGTAAACGCAACAAAAACTCCTCAAAAGAATGCTAAAGCACTTATTCTTTATTTTCATGGAGGGGGTTTCTTTTTTGGTAGTGTGGGTAAGAAGTGTCAATACTGAAAGCTATTCTTTAATTTAATCTACTTCGATTCTTTGATTTAGGTTCACATGACACAATGAATTATTATTTATCAAAATATAGTGGTACGAAAATAATCGCCGTCGAGTGAGTACGTATGGAGAAGAAATTGACTTTAAGGAGGTCTCCCTCAGGAAAAAACTTTTTTCTTTCGTATCCAATTTCGATGGCGCTTACAGTGATTAATGCTTACTGTCTAACTAGCTTATGCTAAAAATTTGAGCTCGAAAGCTTAGAGCGTTGCCGAGTTATTATGTGACAACGGGCAAAATGGCGCTCGTAGCAACAACATTCAGGCGTTGTTGTTGGAAGGAGCAGAAAGCTGCGGATGGTCTTAGATGAAAGTAGACACCTATATATAAAGTTTTGTCCGTAGAGATTTTTGGATTTCGCTTCCATTCATTCCCTACATTTATTTTAAATCAGAACTCTGAAAATAACTCTAAGATCATTTTCCACTTTTCTCTGCACAGAAAATGAAATTCAAAAATCGCTGCAGACAACATTTAGATAAATGTCTTAGATAAATGTCTTAGCTTCAAAATAAAAAATGCGAAAGTTTTACGATGAATCGTCTAGGACGAGTAGCAATTTTGTTGCGCCAAAACCATATTCTAAACAATGGCGTCATCACTTCATTAATTATAATTCAGTGTCTTTTCGCAAAACTAGTATAACTCTGCAAGACGAAGTCCTAAAAACCTGCGGAATATCTCATTTTGATCAGAACACTCTGCTCAACATAGCTCCATATCTGTTATAGCGGACAACTGTGAAAATTTTAATTGAAATTTGAAATTTAGAAAAAGGTGGTTTTTAGAGCTTTCAGAAATCTTTTTCAAAAGCCTTGAATTTTTGCCAAATTGAGATGGATTCTGAAAGATGACAGTTTGGGATACTTAACCATATGCTTACTTCAGTTTCGAAGTTTTGAAGAAAAAAATCAAATTCCTGAGAGAGGAAGGGGGGGTCTCCTTAATTGCACACAATTTCAGACACATTTAACCCTATATAAATAGTCGATTAAGTTTTTGCTGGTGTTTTCCTTTTTAGTTATCATTTATCTCCTACTGTTCATTATCCCGTTGCTGTTAATCAAAGTATTCGCGTAACACGCTATATTCTTCAGCATCCACAAAAATATAATATTGATCCAACACGAGTATTTCTAGCTGGAGATTCAGCTGGTATATTAGTCTAAACTTGTTATATAACTTAATAACGTTTTAGATAATTTAAATTTATCTTTTTATAGGTGCTAATTTAGTTATAGTCATTGAACGTTATTTACATAAAGAATTAATTTATCCAATTCGTGCAGAAATCTTACTTTATCCTCTTTTACAAATGGTCAATTATATGTTACCATCATATCAAAAATATTTGAAATATGAGATATTATCGGTTGTTACAGAAGATTTTTTACGTAATGTACCAAACTATTATTTAAATGCAACATTTGATGGATCACAATTATTTAAAAATCAACATTTATCAAAACAAGATTTAAATAAATTTTATTCAGTAATAAATAAACAATGGTTAAATCAATCAAATATCTATAAGAGGTTTAAATGATAGTTTCTATTTTAACTTTTATTTTAATCATTTTTCTCTCATTTTTAGATCCTATGATATTGACAAATTATTACCAGATGATTATTATTTAATGTCAACTACAAGTGAATCTCATCCAGATACATCAAAATTATTTCATGATGACATCTCACCATTACTATCGTCATCCAATATTATTTCACAAACACCTTCAACATTTTTAGTATCATGTGAATATGATACTTTACAAAGTGATTCTTTGTTATATTGGGAAAGATTGAAAGAGGCACATGTTGAAGTAGAATATAAACATTATCAAATATTTCATGGGGCAATGACATTTGTTGATTGGCCTGTAGCGTTTCCAGATGCATTTTCAATTATTGAAGATAGTGCTGCTTTTATTCGAAAAAAAATTTAATAGAATACTCGAGAAAAAATAGTGAATTAATGTATAACCGTCCATGAATTCTTTTATTATTCATCTGTTAGTCACATGTTGAACCGATGCTCAATATTTTATATTAGAAAACTTTTATAATTTGACAATTTTAATATACAATCAATAGAAAAAAATTAATTTTTTCTACTTAAGTTATCTAATTTTCAAAATCGAATGAGAAAATACTCATTGTTCTATCTACCTCTTGTTTATTTAGACAAAATCACTTACTATATTAGTGTACTTGATTTTCTTTGTTATTGATATAGTTATTATTGTCATTTATTTTCATATTCATCCATTATGCAGTCAGTAGTACTCGGTTGTTTTGACTGTTTATTGCGTCCCTAAATACTATTTTGTTTCAAATAATAAGTTACTTCTCTTATTTTTCTGAATTCTATTTGTTCATTTTGTGCTTATGTTTTTGTCAGATTTTTTTTGTTTTGATATTTTATTGAAAAAGAATAATTACAGTTGTATTTTTTTCTGTATAATTAATTGTAGAAAATGACGTTGTTTTATTTTGTTGATGTTTTTTTTCTTCATAATTCAAAAGATAACACGAACTAAAATACAAGTATTGAAATAACGGGGGCTAGTCCTTTTTTATTGGATCCAAACAAGGAAAGGTTATTTAGTTAGTATGTGGTTGACATTGACTTGGTCAAACTCAAGCGCACTTTTAAAGCTAAAGAGATTTAGAGGTGTAGAGCTATGTATTACAGACGTCTTACAGAAATCATTGAATGGTAGACAATTGACAGCAAGTAACCACGTATAATGACGGATTTGAAGAACGGTTATCTTTTTCTGATATCTTTATTCCAGTAAATTGGGGTAATTCTGGACAGCCTCTCGAATTTTCACAGTATTTCGAGCGTACCTGAAGCATTTTTACTCGGGAAAAAACGACACTTCGGAGGTAGATAGACCGAACATTTCTCTATCTACTAGTGTAAAAATCTTGTTAAAGTTCGATA